CCCCACACAAGATTTGTGGGTGTTTCGGAGAGCTCGGGAGGCTTGGGGTTTGTGGTTAGGCCTCCCACGCTGGAGCACGAGGATGATTATGTGCAGCTTTTATTTGGCCCCCAGGATTCTGCCGCATTATCTGTATTTCCTTTAATTTGCGGGATTTCTAGTAAGTGGGCTTAAAAATAGTTCTGGGCGTGTTGCCAGGGCAGATTCGGGCAGTAGGAGTCTCCCCACCTCCCTCCCAATGGTGAGTGGGCAACCCCTGTGTCACCAGGGCCTGTGCCTCCTGCAGGACCCCGGGGAGCCCGGCCAGGGTGCCCCAGAAGGGCAGGTACCACCCAACTCCTGGACCGGAAGTCAGGTTGGGTCCTGGCTGCACCGAGGTTGGGCTGGGGGTGTCTGACAAGTGTCCAGGAAGGCGGGTGGCGGGGTGGGTGCAGTACACCTGAGGGGTGGGGTGGGAGCTCTGGCCTGCCCCCCAGCCGCGCAGCGAGGTGGAGTGGGCAGCCTTGGGGTCACTGCAGGCCTCCCCGAGGTTGTGTCTGGGTCTGCAGTGCCTTGGGGCCACTTGTGCCTGTCTTCCCCCTGTGCCTGGAATGAGCTCCGCTGCTGAGCTGCCCCTCGCCTGGCTCTGCCACAGGAGTCCCCGGGGGTCAGTTTGGTTGGGGACACCCCAGGCCCTGCCATGTGCTTCATGCCACCCAGGTCAGTGCCATGTGCTGCTCTGCAGACTCCAGGTGGCCACTGTCTGCCCTGCCCTCCCTGTCTCCACAGCCAGAGCTAACCCAGGCCGCCCCTGCTGCCCCTGCTGCCCCTGCCTGCCTTGCCAGGGACTCCCTGATTCTGCCCTGCAGGTGGGGGCTGGGCACCCGAGTCTCCCTCCTGTGGAGTCGAGTCCCAGAACTGAGGCAGCCTGGTCTGGCGGTTAAAACATGGTTGCAGGGCCCGGAGCCTGAGTGCCACCCCCACCGCAGGCCTCTGCTGCTGCCCTGTGCCCAGCGGGTCCGGTACCCTCGTGTGGTGGGGCTGTCCAGGAGGCCGGGCTGGCAGGAACCCTGGGGCTGCAGTGGACCTGGCCTTGCCGTCCAGGTTGGGCCCCAAGGTCACGGCCTGGGCCCCCCCGGGCCACCTTGCCAGGGCCACGGAGGTGGGGAGCCCATTGTGGTGGCCCCCACCAGGGCTGATCCAGGGCTTCTGTATCGCTCTGCTTCACATTAGAGTCTAAGCATGATTAGGAACGCAGGGGTCTTTGTGTCTTACCTCCCTCGACTATTTATGGCCTGGTATGCAGATGAGGAGAGCTGTGAATATTAAAGATCGGTGTGGGGGAAGCGTTGTCTGTAAGGAGCGGGTGAGCCGCAGCCCAGCGCATGCCAGACACCCCAGCCACCTCCGAGCAGAGCAGGCCTCCACTGGTCTTGGGGCCCCAGCCCAGGTGGTGTGGGTCACAGGCCCGCCTGCCTGGGCCCGCAGGAGGGAGGCAGGTGAGCTGGCTGCCCACCCAGCCCCTGCCCATGGCGGCTGCCCAGGGTCCCGCCGGAGCAGGGAGACCCTGCCTCAGCGGAGGGAGGAGGACCAGTGTGCAGTGCTGGCTTTTTAAGTTATTAAACTGTGCCCGAGGGAGATACTCTTCAAGCTCCCGTTATTTAAATTACAAATACGGGTTGAGCGAGATTTTTGGCTCTTCTCAAAACACTGCTTAAGTCTTTAAAACCTCCCGCACCTTCCAAACCGGTCCCTGGCTCCGGAGCCTGGGAGGATGTGTGGCTGGTGGGTCTGGGGTGGGGTGGAGTGGGGCCTGTGGGGCGGCCCCAGCTGACGCCCTCCCCACTCAGAGCGACCCTCGAAGGCAGCATCGTGAGGGGCCCGGCCTGGCTTCTGGGCAGCTGGTGTCCACAGGTGCCACCTGCTCGAGGCTGGTTCCCCAGGGCGAGGGCTTGGGTGGCTCACACGGCACAGGCCGACTCTGGGCCGAGTGCTGCTGCGTGGGGGACCCCGGGGCCCTGTGGCTGGAGGGTCTGGCTGTGGGGGGCCCTGCTGCCCTCCCCAGCTGGCTTTGTGCTGTCTCTGAGAGCCTAGAGGGGGCAGACTGATAAGCACATTTTTGAATTTGCAGATGCTGGCATGCTGCCCTCTCTTTCTGGAAAAAAAAAAAAAAAGAAAGCTTCCAGGCAAACATTTGTTAGTGCAGTGAAAATGGACTTTATGGCCACTGCTGTCCAGGTTTGCGGGCATGGAGCTGCCCAGGGGCCTTCGGGGCGAAGTGGGATGGGGCACCTCCCGCCCTCCTGCTCCCCACCTGGGACCACTCAGCAGTTTGAGGGGCCGGGCAGGCCTGGGACAAAGGTGGTCCCCCCGCCAAGTGCAGGAACCAAGGAGTCTGCTTTGGACGCCCCAGGTGGGGTCCATGGAGCCCGGCAGGGATTTGATGGGGGAGCCTGGGGTCCAGATCAGGAAGCTAGGAGGGCACCAGTCGAGTACCCAGGCCCAGCGGCTCCTGGCTCTGAGGCCTCCGTGGGCCCTGCCCTCCTGTGCCTCAGTTCCCATGTTTGCACCCCTTGGAGGGGTCGGGGAACCAAGCAGCCTGGGCAGTTAGTAAGTTGTCTGGACCTCAGCCTGTGGCCCAGCTCCACCCTACGGCGGCTTGAAATTGTGCAAACTTCAAGGCCTAACTTGTGCCTGCCCACCTCTGGGCACCAGTGCCCACCCAGGCCTGCAGCCTGGACCCTGGCAGGATGACATGGGCCCTGCTAGTCCCTGGGGTCCACTGCCTGGGGGAGGCTGCGCTGACGTGGGTGGAGACCCAGCAGACTCCCCCAGCCCCTGCGAGGCGGAAGCGTTCACTGGGCGGGGTTCCTGTGCTGACCAGCTCCTCGGTCCTGCCGACTCGGGAGCAGTGCACCGAAACCTGGGGTGACGCCACCTTGAACTCTGAGTGTCCGCTTCCCGGGCAGGGCTGGGGCTCCCCCTCTCTGCACAATGTTTCCGGTACCAAGACAGCCCTCCCTCCTCCCAACTGTGCTGCCTGCGCTTTTGCTGAGGTCCAGAACCTCTTATTAGATTGGTGAAATTAAATCCTGCAAAATAATTTAATTTAGTTTAATCTATCTCGCCTTCCTCTCCCTCGCCGGCAGCGTTCCTGCAGAAGCTAAAGGAGCATCCCCCAAGTTCCATACCCTGGCATGGGGAGGGGGTGGCCTCTGGGGATGGGCAGGTGGGTTTCTGAGGACCCTGGGCACCGGAGCCACATGAGCCAGGCCCACGTGTCTGTGTCCTTGTTTGAACCCTGCCCGGGACTCAGCTCAGCAGGGCGCCCCTCCTGTGGGCACTGCCCTGGCCCTGAGGGTGTGCAGTCCCCACTCCCAGCCCGGCCTTTAATCTGTGTGTTTCTGGGTGGGGTGAGGGAACCCTAAAGCTGGCACCTTGGTGGGGTCTGAACTTGGGATTTGAGTTGTTTTCATGGGATTCCCAAAGTGGGTTCCATTCGGAAGGACTTTATGAGGGGAGGTTCCTCGGTGCAGCGCCTTTGGAGATGACTGGGATAAGCATCACTCTCAGACTCAGAACGTCACCAAGGAGGGGAAACAGAATACGTGGTCTGGCTTGGGAATCAAGGAGCAGGGGAAACTGAGTCACAGCAGAGCGATGGTCGGACATGGAGCGCGGCTGAATGCCGCCATGCAGGGATCTGCGAGGGGTCCTCAAGTCCCTGCAGCCCTTGGCCTGTCTCAAACCCGCAGCCCCCGCCCGGCTGCAGAACCAGGGCCTCTTCTGTGCGCCCCGCTTTCCCAGCCTGGGCAGCGCCAGCCAAGCCTGTGTGATTCTTTTCTCCTAAAGTCCAGCTTTGTTCTTGCCCTGCTGAGGCTTCTAAGAAAGCAACCTAAAACCAGCGCCTGTCCAGTCCTCAGTGGCCGGCACAGGCAGTGTCCTTGCCAGCACAGGTGGCCTGAGGACAGCGCTGCAGAGGCGCCAGGTCCCTGGGTCCCTGGGGAGCCGGGCAGCCTTGTCACCTTCTCTGGGGGGCTGGGCCCTGGTTCCTGAGGTGCGAGCACAAACCCCGCCTGTCTGGTCACAGCAGGTCACAGCCTACTGCCCCAGGCTCATTCTGTGCTCAGTGACTGTCCCCGGGCCAGCTGGGCCCAAGGCCACAGGAGCCTTGTGCATCCTCCTGTTGACCTGGCCCCTGGCCGGCCCAGCCCTGGCAGCTGCCACCCTCAGGGCCAGGACACAGTGCCCTTTGCTGGGCCTCGCCCACGTGCACTGGCTGGGAACCCCCCCATCTGGCTCAGGGGACCCCACGTCACAACCTTGGGCTGAGGTTGCCCCCCACCGAGCCAGAGGCTCCTGGGGGCCTCTGCTGGCGGGTGACATCTGCAGACTTTGGGGGTCCCAGTCCCTGTGCAGCATCACTGGGCAGCACAGAGCCCCCCAGTGTCCCCAGCACGAGTCTGTCACCCACCCTGGCCTGGGGATGCCTGGCCCTGGAGGCTGTGGGCAGCTGAGTCTACGTCCCCACCCCAGCAGGGTGAGCCTCACCCACTCCTGTGTACCTGGTCCCCGCACCCCAAATCATCTGTGAGTGTCCTGGCCTCGGAAGGCAGAGACAAGCACTGAGGACCTCCGTGCTGGGCCACAGGCGGCTTCCACACTCGTGGCCTTCTGTCTGGCTGGGAGCAGAGCTTGCGGTGTGTGGACAGGGAGGCACCGGCTGGTTCAGGGGGAACCCGCCCGGCTGTGCCACTGCCCCCACCAGGCCTGGAGGCCAGTGGTGGCAGATGCTCCGGCTGGAATGTATTCCTTGTGGGGCCACATGTGGTGGCAGATGGGGAAACTGAGGCAAGGCCATCCAGCAGTTCACCCCGGGCCCTCAGCCCAGGACAGGCCCCACACTGCTGCGGTCCCCTCCCCCAAAGGGCTCCATGGGTGGGGTGGGGTGGGGTTGATGCCCGGGGCCCCTGGGCTCAGGCACTGCAGGATTTCATCTCAGAGTGGGTGGTGCTGGGAAACGGCCAGTCTAGGCCAGGTGTCCCTGGGGACATCCGCCCTGTGGGGTGGGGGGACCGTGCTGCCCTGCCAAGTTGCACCAGTGGGGATGGGCGATTCTGGGGCTGGACCTGCCGGCCTGCTGCTGGCACTGTGACCCCCGAGGGCAGGGGACACGGTTGTGCCCCTCCTCCGTCTGGCCCCTCTGTCATGGCCGCTCCTTGCTTGCCCGGCTGTGCCCCATCCCTCAGGACCCCCGCCCTGTGCTCAGCCTGGAGAACCCCTGGAAGAGTTGAGCCGGGCGGGCGCTGCCAGCCCTGCAGACTGTTTGGACTAGTTTAAATGCTTTGACACCAGGCTGCACTGGATGGCGGGAGGCAGTTTACAGGGTAATTCATATGCAAAACGGCACTATAAATTTCCTGGCTGTCGGAGTTGCCGTGGCACCGCGAAGCGTTCCCGCGTACAGTACAGTATTTCTGCCATCTTTGTTTGCATTGCAGTGAGTCATCAAAAGTCTGTCTTGCACCGACACCCGGAGCCGCGCATTCCTCTGGCACCAACGCGCCACTGTTTTTAAAGCCGGGGCTGGGAGCTGGCATTTACTTCAGCTCCCAAATCAAAGGCGGCTATTCATTCCCGGAGCTGCCTGAGTGTTCGTCCGCATCCGGCCGCCTCATTGAGATGCTGCGCGCTGCCCGGGAGCGCCGGCCTGGGTGCAGCTGAGCGGCGGCCGCAACCCGGGCACCCAGCTCCCCCCAGCTCCGCACCCCCCCAGCCCAGGGCTCCGGCTCCCCTTGCTGCATTCCGGGAACGGCTGGCGGGCGGGCGTGCGTGCGGGGAGCCTGCCCGGCCAGGCTGAGCAGCCGAAGCGGCTGAAGGTAGGTCCTCGCTCCCCACCCCCGTGGCCGGCCGGTGCCCACGGGCCAGTGGACAACTTGTCCGCAGTGGGGGCACTGCGGGCCTCCCCGGCGTGGCGCCCATCTGCCCGACTCCTGCTCTGGTGGCTCCGCCCTCCGGCCCTGGCCACCCGGCGCCACCCGGCCACCCGCACTTTCCTCCCGCGGGACACAGCGGCCCTTTGTGCCGTCCCTGCAGAGTTGGGTCGGCGCCTTCTCCGGCCGCCCCCCCTTTGCAGAGTCGCCTGATAAACAGTGGCCTCCTGCCACCCTCTGGGCATGGGGCGCCCTCCTGAGACCCCTCAGTTACCTGGGCTGCCACCGGGCTAGCGGGGATTGGCCGGGAGGGAGGGAGAGAGGGAGGCACCGTGCACGGGGCTGCGACAGGCTCCAACTCCGAGTCCCTGCCTGTGCGTCCCTGCTGGCTGCTTGCTGAGGACCTGGGTTGGGGTCACACCTGCTGGGGACCAGGGAGTGGACAGGACAGAGCCCACCTGGAGCCTCTCTGCCGCGGTGGAGGAGTGGAGGGGCAGCCGCAGACCCTGCAGCCTCAGCCTCCAGAGGACCAGGGCCGGCCCCTGGGGAGGTCCTGCAGCGGGGCTCCCTGGCAGCCTTGAACTTTTTCCCTTTTCCTTAGGAGAGGAGCTGCTGCCTGGCCCTGGCCCCTCCCCAAGGTCACCCCACCTGCCCTCCCGGTCCCTTCCTTGCCCCCGCAGATCGAGGCCTCTCCCTCGTGTCTTCTGCAGGGCTGGGCTCTGCCGCTCCCCTTGGGAGCAGCTGGGGTGGCAGGGGAGCCTCTCTGGCCGGCCCCCCTGCCCAGGTCTGATGTGAAACCCCAGGAGGCCTTTGGGGGCTCCGCTGCAGAGGAGGACGCGGTCTTTCTCCGCCCTTTGCAGGGTGGGGGTGGCTCAGGCCCACGGCTGCAAGATGGGCCGGGACTGACCTTGCTGTTCCCTCACAGATGTGCCCCCCTTGGGCCGCCCCGCACCACGTCTAGCTGGCCCACCACGCCACCCGCCATGTCGCAGATGCTGCACATTGAGATCCCCAACTTCGGGAACACTGTGCTGGGCTGCCTGAATGAGCAGCGGCTGCTGGGCCTCTACTGCGATGTGTCCATCGTTGTCAAGGGCCAGGCCTTCAAGGCGCACCGGGCCGTGCTGGCCGCCAGTAGCCTGTACTTCCGCGACCTGTTCAGCGGCAACAGCAAGAGTGCGTTCGAGCTGCCGGGCACGGTGCCACCCGCCTGCTTCCAGCAGATCCTGTCCTTCTGCTACACGGGCAAGCTCACCATGGCGGCCAGCGAGCAGCTCGTGGTCATGTACACCGCCGGCTTCCTGCAGATCCAGCACATCGTGGAGCGTGGCACTGACCTCATGTTCAAGGTGAGCTCGCCCCACTGCGACTCGCAGACGGCCGTGATGGAGGATGCCAGCTCCGAGCCCCAGAGCCCCTGCAACCAGCTGCAGCCGGCTGCCGCCACGGCCCCCGCCGCGCCCTACGTCGTGTCCCCCTCTGTGCCCATCCCGCTGCTGACCCGCGTGAAGCATGAAGCCATGGAGCTGCCCCCGGCCGCCGGCCCAGGCCTGGTTCCCAAGCGCCCGCTGGAGACAGGGCCGCGGGACAGCGCGGCGGTGGCTGCAGGAGCCGCGGTGGCTGCCGGTGTGGCCCCGCTCAAGCTGCCCCGAGTCTCCTACTACGGGGTGCCCAGCCTGGCCACCCTGATCCCTGGCATCCAGCAGGTGCCCTACCCTCAGGGGGAGCGGACCAGTCCGGGGGCCAGCAGCCTGCCCGCCACCGACAGCCCCACATCCTACCACAACGAGGAGGATGAGGAGGATGATGAGGCCTACGACACCATGGTGGAGGAGCAGTATGGCCAGATGTACATCAAGGCCACAGGCAGCTATGCAGGTAACGTGCCAGCCCACGGTGGGCACGGCAGGTCTGGGCCCAGGGCGGGGGGAGGAGCCAGGACTCAGTGCAGGTGCCAGGGTGACCCAGCCACTGCCCCGCAGGTGAGTGTGCCAGGGAGCCCTGTTGACACCCGCAGACGAGGAGATGGAGGGTCTCAGGGTCCTCAGGCTTGCGGGCTGATCGCTGGCTGCTTGAGGCCGCGGTCACTCGTTCTGTGAAGCGCCTGGGATCCTGCATGTCGCGCCTCCCTTCCTGCCTCCAGCCTCAGTCTCCGGGTCCTACCTCTGGGTGTCGTCCTGGGGCCAAGACTCCCTTGTGCCTGCCTGTGCGCCCCCCTCCCTGGGCCTGGCACTGGAGGGTGGGCCAGTCAGCGCTGGGCTGAGCGTGTCCCTGGGTCTGCTTTGCTAAGGAGGGTGCCCCTTTGGAACCTGGAAGCCCGAGATGCCGTGGTTTGAGACGCTGGACGCTGTGCACCCCGAGACTGCTCAGGGTTCACTGTGCTCGGGGCTTCCTGGCTGTGCTGGTCAGGGGTGCACTGAGGTAGTGTGGGGTGCCCCTCCATGGTCTCACACCCTCACAGGGTGCCCTGCCCTCCTGGGCCAGCCGGGAGCCCGGCACCTCTTAGAGCACTGTGGCCGTGGACTGGCTGGCAGGGTCTCTGCTTCTGCCTGGGCCACCCCATGCCCTCTCAGAGCCTTCAGGAGAAGCCACCAGCCCAGCCTGGTGCCCTCCTGGCCAGGGCTTCACTATGGCACTTAAGTGAACATTGGGTCTTGTGTGGATTCTGCAGAACGGAGGCCGTGGCCCCTGGACTGGGCGGAGTGTGGTTCCTCTGCTGTGGCCGGGTCAGGACTGGCATCTTCCTGAGTTGGCCTGGATGTGCTGAACACGCGCGCCCTGGGACTCTGCCCCGTATGCAGTTTCCTCGGGCTGTGGACCCTGAGAAGAAGAGGAAGGGCCAAGACCCTTCCTCCAGAGACCACAGTGCTTGGAGTTCCGTAGGCTGCAGACCCCGGCTGGCCTGGTGTTCCTGCAGCCCTGAAAATGCTGCCCTGCATGGTGGCTGTGGATGGGGCCGGGCCAAGCCAGGCCATCCTCTGCTGGTGCCAGCCCTGACCTGGGGCAGGTGGCCCTGCCGGAGCACAGGAGTCGGCAGCTTGTGCGGTGCCCGGCTTCAGTTCCTGGTCAGCTGGGTCCTTGATAGGGCGGCCGCCCTGGTGGTTTCTGGAGGAGCTGGCAGCTCAGACTGCAGAGTGTGCGTGCAGGGTGGGCATTAGGAGGCTGAGCCACCTGCCTACTGTCCTGGTGCTCAGAAAGACGTGGAGGCCAAGGCCAGGGAGGCATGGGGGGGGCCGGGCAGCCCCATCCCTGCCCCACTCTGGGTCAGTGCTGGGATCGGGGCCTGGCGCCCCACATGCTCAGGACCGGCCGGCTGGCTCCTCTCGCCCTGGCCTCCTTGATTCCAGCCCGTAAATGGGGCAGAGCAGGGATGTGAGTTTCTTGGCTCAAATCTAGGTTATTGGTGGTGACGTCGCTGGCATCTGAGTATGCTGGGGGAGGGAGGCCTGGCACGGCAGAGCCACCCTTGGGGCTGGCCCCGGCTCCTGTACCTGGCTCCCTGTGTGGGGACATCCCCACCCCGACCCATCAGGAGCTGGCCAGGACACGGGCTCTGAGCCCTGGGATATGGGGAGCTCCCTGGTGCCCTCCTGAGGAGTCCCCACTCCTTCCTGCCTCAGTTTCCCACCGGTGAGCCAAGTTGTTAGCTGGTGGGACCCTGGCGTCTCAGTCCAGTGCCCACAGTGCCCTGGGGGTGCTGATCCCGAGGCAGCTGGGCATCGTGGATGGTGTGTCCAGGGCACCGAGCAGACCTGTCATGTGGATGAAGGTAACAGCTTCGGCCCGGCCTGTGGGCTCCTGGGTCTCCATCTCTGCCTCCTTTGCCCTAGTCCCGCCTCAGCAGCTGCCTGGGAGCTGCCACCTTGATTCACCCCATCCTCCACTGGAGGACACTTAGGTAGTGGGCAGCATTGTCATGGGGAGCTTGGCCCCTGAGGAGGCTCCCTGGGGCCACCCTGATGCCTACTGCTTGGTGCCTCCCAGTCCCCACCCTGCCTCTGTCCCTGCCCACTTGGGGCATCGTCCTTCGAGCTGTCAGCAGTGGGGTGACTCGGCCAGCTCCTAGGACAGGCTGGGATTTGTCTGAGGAGCAAAATGCAGGGAAGGCATCATGTGTATCAGACATGAAGGTGCCCACCAGCTCCCAGGGCTGCTACTGTCAGCTTTTCCAGGAGTGAAGCATACTCTTGAACACACCTGTGTCACACACACACGCATCAGGGACATGGCATCCCGAGCTACACACTGAGAGACCTTCCTGCAGCCCCCATAATGGGGGAGTTGGGGACCAGTACTGGAGCAGGAGCTGGTGCCGGGCAGGGGCCATGAGGTCACAGACCTCCCTCTCCTGCTCCGCCCATGTTCCCGGAGGGTGTGGTCAGGGCTGGCTCCCTCTGGAACAGGTGGCTTGGGTCTGGGCGTGGCACCCCTGGGCCAGGCAGGAGCTGCCTGCTCGAGAGCTCTCCCCTGTGCACGTCCCGTGGGCGCACTGGCCCTGCAGCCCTGCATTGTGCTGGCTGGAACCAGCCCTGCAGCGGCTGCCCGGAAGATAGCACAGGGCATTGAGGGCTGTTGTCAGCCCAGCCTGTGTGGGAGGGCCAAGGACAGGGAGAGGTCTTGTCCTCTGCCGGGGAGCCAGGCCCCTTGCCACCTCTGTGCCCCCGACAGGTCCTCCCCGGCAGCCATGGCTCTCCAGGGTCTGAGATAAGCCCAGGCCTCCGGGTCTGTGCGAACCGCACCATAACCCTTCGCCTGGAGGGGTAGTGGGCCTCTCCAGCCTCGCTCCCATCCCCGGGGCACTCACTTCTGCTTCTGCCACTGTCCTGTGCATGTCCCCGTCAGGTGTTCTGCGAGCTCAGCATCCAGCTTAGGGCTGGCCACACCCTGGAAAGTTAGGGCCTGTGAGGGGCTCGTGTGTGACCTTACCCTGCTATCTGGTGCCGGGACGCTGGGCAGACACTGAATGGAGCAGTTCCAGCCCTCGGTGGCCCAGTGTCCCGGCTCTGCCCTCTGAACCGATGCTGCTGTGGCCCCAGGGTCCCCAAGGGAGACACCGGCTGGCCCTGCCCAGGCCTGTCCCTGCCCAGCAACACCTGTGGAGTCACCTGGGCTGCCCCCTTCCCACAGGTGAGCAGTCCTACTGGTGGCCACACACGCTCTTGGCAGAGTGGCCCGGTCTAGGAGGCCCGGCCTGGGCAGTGGGCAGGGATGCCTGCTGGAGGCCACTCCTGGCAGCACCTCAGATCACTCCAGAGAGACAAAGTGGGGGCAGGCTTGGGTGGCTGAGTACAACCCCCCTCCCTGCCACCACAATCTCTTTGTCCATGTGTGGATGGCCCGCACCTGGGGCCCACGAGCTCTGAGCCCAGGCAGGTGCAGCTGCAGGGTAGCAGTTCCTCCTTCCACCGGCAACACCTGCAGCCCAGCTGCTGCACCCCGGCCGGGTGGAGGTGACACCAGTCATGCGTCTGTCCCACAGGATCCCTTGGACCCTGGTTGTGGCCCCTGGGTGCCCCTGGGGTCACCTGCCGGTCCTGCCCCTACCCGGCTTCCGTGCAGCCCTGTGTACCCTGGCCCTGCACACCCAACATCGCTTCTGCCCAAACGTGTTGTGTTGAGATCAGATGCCCGTGGCACAGGCCCCATCCGAGTCTTGTGGTGGCACTATCGCCCCGGAGCGTGTCCTGGTGCTCAGGTCACTGGCCCTGGGCTTGGCCTGCTTCTCCAGCTTGCGGGGGAGGTGGCAGCATTGCCACCCCTCCCCCGAGCGCCAAGCACCTAGCACCTGTCCTCGGCACCAACGCCAAGCGCAGGGCCCTGGCTGGGGAGCTGGGAGCAGCCGGGCCCAGTGTCACCATGGAGATGGCGCCAGTCCTGGCCCAGAGTGTCCCTGCCCTGTCCCCCGTCCACCCCCTGCCCCTGACCACCGTGATCTACCTCGTGTAGAATCATGGTGAATGGGGCCATCTGTACACGGCTTCCGTCTGTTGCCACACCCTCTGCTTGGGGGTTCATCCAGGGGTGATGTCCCAGTCCTTCCTGGTCATGCTGCGTGTTCCTCCACGGTGTGGACAGACCCCCGGTGACGGACACCAGCTGCTTCCCAGCAGGGCTGTTGCTGCAAGCCAAGGTCGCCATGGGCGGGGTCTCTGCCCTGTGTCAAGAGTGGAACTGCTGGGCTGGACATTCAGAGCATTCAGCTTCTGTCTGCCACACGGTGCTCTGGAGAGGTGGAAGGCTCTGCCCGCTCACCCAGTGCCCCAGCCACACGGTCACCTGCTGCCCGTTCCCCACTGGCTTTGCTGCGGTGCGGGGCGGGCCAAGCCGGCTCGGGGTTTCCGGTGGCGCTTCTCTGGCACTTGTCTCTGGATCTTGCCTGTGTTGAATAATCATATCTAGTAACTTTAGTGCCATACTTTCTTCAAATATTCTTGCTGAGTGTTTTGTATTTTTTTAAAGAGTGTGAGTTCTCTAGTTTGGAAGCAAGTCCTTCATCAAATATTTTCTCCCAGGCTGATTTGGTTTTTATCACGGTGTCTTTCAAAGACCAGAGATTTTCAATGGGTGAAGAACAGTCTGTCAGGGTTTCATCTCACACTGCGCTCCATGGCCTGGTGAAAAGTCCTGTGTTCCTCCCTGCTCGGCACTGTGCGCACACGGGTGCGTGTGCCTGAGCGTGTTCCAGTCGCTGTGTTGCTTTGCTCTTGGGTTCTGGCTGACTGTCGCTCCGAGTCCACTTCTGTGTGACAGGCTGAGAGCGAGCTTTTGTTCCACGTGGACGTCCATCGTTCCACAGCTGGCTCCCAAGTCGCACCCTGGTGAGAAGGTGGCCGCCCCCGGGGTGTCCGTCAGGGTTGCCTTGAATCTGACCCTTGGAA